AAGAGTTTCTACCGAATTGGATGAGATTCGCATGAGGGATGATGAGACCATTGATATGTATTATGCTCGCTTTTGTGATCTCGTAAACCAAAGCGCAATGCTAGGTGAACCTGTATCGGAGGCAAGACAAGTACAAAAGTTGATGAGAACCCTACCAGATAGATTTGGAATTAAGATCACAGCTTTGGAGAGTTTTCAGAGAGTTCAAAAGCTGGACATTGATGACCTTCTCCGTGAATTGCGTACCTTTGAAATAAATCACGGATTTGACTCGATGAAGATGGGGAAAGGAAAAGGCTTAGCTCTAAAAGCCAAGGTTCGTACACCTATGTTGGAAGAGGAAGATTCGGATGAAGAATCTTTCAATGCTGAAGAGATTATGAAAGCCCTTACATTTCTTACTAAAAATGCCTCAAAACTGAAGAAATTACAGAATATAAGGTTTCAAGAAAACAAGCCCTCTGAAAGTGGTAAGAACACTTCTCAGCAACTTGGTGAGTGAGGTTCCAGAGTACAATAGTAAAAGGTTCAAAACATCGACAAAGGAGTTGAAAGGGATCAGTGTCGGGAATGCAAAGGGTTCGGTCACTTTCAGAAGGAATGTCCAAACTTCAAGAGAAAGAACAAGGTCTATAAGGCAACCTGGTCCGATTGCAGTGATGAGGAGAATGAAGAATCTGAGAAGACTAAAAATTCTCATTATTCCAACAACTTTGTTAAATGTCTTCTTAGTGAATATATAACTGCTTCACATCCTCTGTGAATCTTACTGATGTTGAATCGGATGTAGGTTCTTACGCAAAGAACGTAAGCTATGCTGAACCTGAAGAGTTATCTGATCCTGCTGATGAGAACCTAGAACTCCACAAATATGCCATAGAGAAGTGTCTCAAAGCTGCCAAAATCATCAAGAAATACCAAGCTCAAAAGGGAAGAATGAAGCTGTTGGAACATCGGTCTGCTGAACGTGAAAAAGAAATTACGTATCTCAAGTATGAACTCCAGAAGATGAGAGTGATGACCATTGATCTAAACGAAAAGCTCATCAAATCCGATCTTCACATCGGGAAGCAAGACAAGGATCTCAACAGTTGCCTTGCCAAGCTCGCATTGGTGGAACATGGAGACAAACTTAGCAAACATGCAAGTGATGCACAAAATTTTACCATTGAATTCTTGCGTAATGAGTTGTTTGCTGTGCAGAGTCGTGTAGGTGAAAGAGAAATTGAGATTGTTGTTCTTAAAGGGGAACTCAGTCGTGTGATGGAAGAACATTTGACTCTTCGAAGTCATTGTTCAACCTTGGAACAAAAGCTCAACAAGAGTGAGGAGATTGTCAAAATGATCAATAAGCCAAAGTCCCCATTTGCTGAAGTTCAATGGTTGAGTCGTCAGATTGTGTGTTCAGACCAGAGTACGAACTCCTCCTATCAGAAACTGAAAGGTAAACTGGGTGAACCAAGCATGTCTCTGAGTAAGTTCTCTCTAACTTTTGTGAAAGAAGGTTCCAACACGGATGGTAAGATTGATCAGGTTTCTTTGAAAGAACACCGTAAACGTTTTGTGAATAATTTCATTCCTACTTGTCATTATTGTGGTGTTCTTGGTCATATTCGTCCTAGATGCTATAGGATGTTTAATGATTTGCATGCAGGAAGAATAAATGACTGGAGCCCCACTGGTGCTCCAATGAAAACACCAAAACTGAAGGTTGACGTAAAGAACCATAAGCAACATAAAATTTGGGTTCCAAAAAAGAATCATACTTGTCTTTCATCTCTGTTTGCTTCAAAATCCACTTCTAATTGTGATTGGTATTTTGATAGTGGATGTTCTAGGCACATGACGGGCATCAAATCGAATTTGATTAATGTTATACTTGTGTCTAATGGTTCTGATGTTGTCACTTTTGGTAATGGTGTTAGTAATAAGATAATAGGAATTGGATGTTTGAACATGCCTGGTCTTCCAAAACTTGATAATGTTTTGTTGGTTGAGAACTTGAATGTCAATTTGCTGAGTGTGAGTCAGTTATGTGATCAATGCTTTTCTATAAGTTTTACTTTGAATGAGTGCTTGGTTTCTGGTAGGTTTAATAATCGTGTTCTTACAGGGTCTAGATCACATGATAATTGTTATTTGATTGATTATATGACTTGTGACTCATGTGATACGAGTTTTGGTATTGTTAGAGGTTGTGATGCTGAAAGGGTTGTGAATGACGTTGATCAATGGAGTACGTCTGACGGATGTTCTTACAGCGATCAGAATCTTGTAGCTGAAACTTGATGTTCAGAAAAAGGTGTGGATAAAGCACAATTTTCTTGAATTTGGAACTGAGGTACAAGCCATTGACATGTTCTTTGACCATACTTGTGCAGCTAATGTTTCCAAATATTATGTTCAACATTCCCTTAAGCGTACTAGCATGCGTTGCCACTTTACTAGAAATTTGGTTGATGGTGGTTTAATTGTTCATAAATATGTTCCAACACATAACCTTGATGATCAAAGATTTATTTCTCTTAGGGAATCCTTAGGGATATGCATTCTCTGATTGCTTGCATGCCATTATATTATATTATTTTATATATTAGTATATATATCTATTGCATTGCTTGTAAGCATATAGCGTATATTGCATTAGTCATGTTGTGCATCTTGCATTTTTTTTCACCACTAGATTCTTAATTGAAGTTCTGACTCTTCTGAAAGCTTGAGCGATGTTGACTGTCTAAGATTGATTGCGTGTTCTTGCAATACCGAGGAATGTACTTATTTTCAGTATCTTTTGTTTTTGTCAAAAAGAGCTGCCTTCTCATAAATGATCTAGAGCGATAGCTAGCACATGGTTTGTTTCCCAATGCGGGATCAACTGTGAAAAGAGCGCCTTAGACAGAAAATGGTGAGAATGGCATAAGCTAGTGACACACATTGCATATTATTGTGTGATGTTTTTACATGGAGTTATAAGGTGGTCATCCTCATAAGAGCCGTAGTGCTATTAATTTTTTAAAAAAAAAACGTAGGATCCTTGCTTAAAATCGTGTTGCAAAGTAGTGGGTTGACTTTCACTATTGCAGTGATTGTTGCTAAGTGAAACGCACTATGAATAATATGGCATGTGTTCTTGCAAAAATTGGAGTTGTGGTTTGGGCTACCTTGTGTATATACATATATCTGCTTAATCGTATGTTCCTTTGGATGTTTGTATCACAAAGTCGGTCTCTGATTGTTATCATCAATCTTGTTTAAGTTGATAAGGAAAAGATTATATAGATCTAGTGAATTTTTTGTGCGATTTTATTTTATTTTTCATACTAGGCATATATTGCATAAAATTTCCTTCTTTGATTGAATTACTTGGGCATTAAAAATTTGTGAGGGAATTTATTTTTAGATGATAAGATCTTATTCTTCCTAATTTTGAATTAGTTGGACACATGTGTTAGTGTGTTAATGGGTTTGTGTGTTCAGGTTTGATGGGAATGTTCTTACTGCATAATATCCAACTTTTCCCTTGATTTTTTAAACCTTATCCATTACATCCTGAAATTTTTTATTCATTATGTCCTCGCTATATATCTTCATTTTCGGAACCTGAGAACCCCATTTTCATTTCTTTTTCTCTATGAATTATTCATTTAACCATTTGTGTTCCTGCATCATTTTCTAATGTGCTTTTGAAACACTTTGGATGATGGCATGGAGAAGAGATGGACAACATATCAGCGATTAAAGATCAGTTCGGGCAACATTTTTTGTCTTCGGTCATCTTTATTTTTCTCATTTGCTGTTCTTACTCAGGGGAAGATTTGCCTTTGACATTTCATTCTAAAAAGGGGGAGAAATAGGATGTTTCTGAAGATGTTCGGGATTATGTTCTAGTTGTTTGCTTCTGATTATTTGTGGTTGCTGTTTTTGACATGTTTCTACAGGATGTAAGAACATGTGTGTTTTGCTGTTTGATTGTTTTGTCCATTCTGACAGGGGGAGATGAATTGGTCACTCTGTTTGACTTAGGTTCTGATAGCTTTATGTGTTTTGATTGCTCTGATCATAGTCCTCATAGTTGTTTTGATAGCAACTGTTCTGATGTTCTTACATTGCAGGTGTTTGAGTAGGTTACTTCTTGATGTTCGAACATAGATAATTGTTTTGTTGTCTTGAGTTTATCTTCAAGAAACACGGTTTTTGAACTGAATGCCAAAGGGGGAGATTGTAAGAACATTAGTTTGGCATCGTCCGACAAACCGTAGTGGTTTATAGAAGATTTCTAGTTAAGCAATCAAAATAAATTAAAGGATGAGCTATCCATACAAGAAGAGTTGTGGACGTTCATGAGAAGATCTAAGGAGGATTTGGAAAGATTCACCACTAACAAGGCAGAAATTATGGAGTAACTTATGGCTGACCTTTAATTGTAAAAGAGTAATTTATGGCTGACCATTAATTGTAAATATTCAGAGTTATGTTTTTGGATTAAATAGGGCGGTAGACTAGGAGCTAGATGAGCAGGTTACCTAAGATAGATTGTACACAAATTTCTATTTAATGGAAAAGAGCCTAAGGAAAAAGGCATTCAGTCAAAACTTTGTTATGGTATAAGAGCCACTTTGTTTTGTTTTTTTTTTTTTATCTAGGAAATTTTCAGAGATTTTGGTTGATCAAATATTTTGATTAACAATTTCGTTGGGGAATTTGGGTCAATCACATAGTGGTTGAATATTTTTTTTGGGAGAAGATAGAAGCTTTCTTCTAGTTAGAATGTTTGCTGCAGATCATATTGGAAAACTGCCTGTAGAGACTTTGAGTTTCAAATTTACAGGGAAAAACTATGGTGCTTGGGAATTTCAGTTTAGAATGTTTCTGAAAGGAAAGGAACTCTGGAATCACATTGATGGAACATCTCCTCCTCCTAAAGAAGCTAGGGAACTCAGTCATGGGAGAGTAAGGATGCCAAAATTATTTCTTGGATTCTAGCATCCATTGAAAGTCATATGGTCAACAGCCTACGATCATTTCGTACAGCTAAACAGATGTGGGATTTCTTGAAGCGTGTATACAGTCAAGAAAATGCTGCTCGGCGATTTCAACTTGAACTCGACATCAACAGTTTTGGCCAAGGCAATCTTTCTATACATCAGTATTATTCTGGTTTTATAAATCTTTGGAGTGAATATTCTGATATTCTCTATTCCAGCGTATCTAATGAGGCCTTGGCAAGCCTTCAAGAGGTTCATGAAGTGAGCAAGCGTGATCAGTTTTTTATGAAGCTGAGACCAGAATTTGAGAGCGCCAGGGCAGGTTTATTGAATCGAAGTCCAGCACCAACATTAGATGTTTGTCTTGGTGAACTACTTCGTGAGGAACAACGATTGGCTACTCTTGCTGTCATGGGGGGGTCAAAAGAAACATCTCAGGTTCTCAATGTTACTTTTGCTGCTCAAGGGAAGAATCGAGGAATGGGTTTCGTTCAGTGCTACAGTTGCAAAGAGATGGGACACATAGCTCGCAACTGTACAAAGAAATTCTGCAACTATTGCAAGCAAAATGGACACATCATTAAAGAGTGTCCAACAAGGCCAGAAAATCGAAAAGCACAAGCCTTTCAAGCTACTGTTTCAGGTTCTCATGTTCTTGGTTCTGCAGCAAATATCACAAATCAACACATTATGACTCCAGAAATGGTCCAACAAATGATTTGTACTGCATTTTCTGCTCTTGGACTCCAAGGTCAAGGTAACATGGTCTCTTCTACCTGGTTTTCTGATTCTGCAGCATCTAATCATATGACTGGTTCTCCTAAGCTTCTAAATAACCTTCGGAAATATACTGGCACACAAAATATTCAGGTTGCTAATGGCAATAACATTCCAATAACGGCCATTGGTGATATTGGTCCTTCTTTTCGTGATGTGTTTGTCTCGCCTGAATTATCTAGTAACTTGATTTCTGTTGGACAATTGGTGGATGATGACTGTGAAGTGCATTTTTCTCGAAATGGTTGTCTTGTGCAGGATCAAGTGTCGGGGAAGGTGATAGCGAAGGGGCCTAAAGTTGGAAGATTATTTCCATCGCAGTTTACTGCTCCACAAGCTTTATGTTTAACTTCTATGGTAGTTGATAATAAGGCTGAAAGTTGGCATAAACGATTAGGCCACCCAAATGATGTAATTTTATCTCATTTAATGAAACAAGGTTTTCTTGGTTCCAAGGATAAGTGTCTAAATTCTGGTTTGGCTAATGGTTGTTCTACCTGCAAACTAGGGAAGAGTAAGATTTTACCTTTTCCTACTAATAGAAGTCGTGCAGATAGATGTTTTGATCTAGTACATTCTGATGTTTGGGGCATTACACCTGTTACTTCACATGCTCAGTATAAATATTTTGTGACGTTTATAGATGACTATAGTCGCTTCACATGGATATATTTTCTGCGCACAAAATCAGAGGTGTTGAATGCTTTCCAAACTTTTCTGGCTTATATTGAGAGTCAATTTTCGACTTCTATCAAGGTACTTCGCTCGGATAATGGTGGTGAATACACATCACATGAGTTTCAATCGTTTTTGCAGCAAAAAGGTATCATGTCTCAGCGTTCATGCCCTTATACCCCCCAACAAAATGCAATAGCTGAACGGAAAAATCGTCACTTGTTGGATATGGTTAGAACATTATTGTTGCAATCTTCAGTTCCGGCTAAATTTTGGATAGAAGCTTTGTCTACTGCAGTCTATTTGATCAATCGATTGCCCTCTCAACAACTGACTTTTGATTCACCTTTCTACCGTTTGTTTGGCATACATCCTGATTACTCTAAGTTGCATACTTTTGGTTGCGTTTGCTTTGTTCATTTGCCTTCTCATGAGCGTCACAAACTTGCAGCTCAGTCTGTTAGGTGTGCTTTTATGGGATATAGTACTGCTCACAAAGGTTTCTTGTGCTATGATGTTGTAGCTCATGGTATACGGATTTCTCGCAATGTCATTTTCTTTGAAAATGAGTTTTATTTTCAACAGCTCATCTCTCCTTCCAGCAGGGTTATCCTTCCTAGTTTTGATGACAACCATCAAGTTCAACAGGCAACAACTGAGCGTTTTAAACCTGGCATTGTTTACCAACGACGCCATTCTTCTACACAAGTTCAACATACTGATCTTCGTAGATCTTCTCGCATCAGCCACCCTCCTGAACGGTATGGTTTTTCTGCCGTTCTAGCTGATACTAGCGTACCTACCTCTTACTCGCAGGCCAAAACACAAGTATGCTGGATAAAGGCTATGGAAGAGGAACTACAAGCACTTCAAGAGAATCAGACTTGGGATATCGTTTCTTGTCCTACTGGTGTTAAACCTATCGGATGTAAGTGGGTATATTCTCTTAAATTACGATCTGATGGCACGCTTGACAGACATAAAGCATGATTGGTAGCTCTTGGGAACAGACAGGAGTATGGGGTTGACTATGAGGAGACATTTGCTCCAGTAGCGAAGATGACAACTGTGAGGCTTGTTCTAGCTATTGCTGCTTCTAAAGGTTGGTCGTTAAGGCAAATGGATGTTAAGAATGCTTTTCTACATGGAGATCTTAAAGAACATATTTACATGCTTCCACCACCAGGATTATTTTCTTCACCATCTTCTGATGTTTGTAAGCTTAAGCGTTCACTCTATGGATTAAAACAGGCTCCCCGTGCTTGGTTTGATAAGTTCCGATCTACACTTCTTAGCTTCTCTTTTGTTCAGAGTCGCTATGATTCCTCTTTGTTTCTTTGCAAGACTGCAAAGGGCATTGTCATGCTCTTGGTATATGTTGATGACATTGTCATTACAGGGACAGACACTCAATTGATTTCCCAACTTCAAGACCGACTTCAGAGTGCTTTTCATATGAAAGACTTGGGTTCTTTACAGTATTTTTTAGGTCTTGAAGTGCAATCTACCTCAACTGGCACTTTTCTACACCAGCATAAATACATCCAAGATTTGGTTGCTTTGGCTGGCCTTCAACAAAGTCGTTCAGTTGAAACTCCATTGGAAGTCAATGTCAAATATCGACGTGACGATGGTGATTTTTTGCCAAATCCTTCTTTATATCGACAACTTGTCGGGAGCCTAAACTATCTGACCATTACTCGACCAGATATTTCTTTTGCAGTTCAACAAGTAAGCCAGTTTATGCAAGCACCTACCACTCTTCACTTGGCTGTTGTCCGTCGCATCATTCGGTATCTACAAGGCTCGTCTACTCGTGGTCTTTTCTTCCCATCCAATTCTTCCACACAATTAGTTGCATATAGTGATGCTGATTGGGCTGGGTGTGCTGATACGCGACGTTCTGTCACTGGTTGGTGCATGTTTCTTGGTAACTCTCTTGTTTCTTGGAAAAGCAAGAAACAAGATCGCGTATCTAAGTCATCTACCGAGTCTGAATATCGAGCTATGTCCTCTGCGTGCTCTGAAATAATTTAGCTTCGTGGGTTACTAGGTGAGCTTGGATTTACCCAAACTAAACCTACTCCGCTTCATGCTGATAACACTAGTGCTATTCAAATAGCTGCTAATCCGGTGTTTCATGAACGCACTAAGCATATCGAGGTAGATTGTCATTCTATTCGTGAAGCACACGATGATTCTATCATCTCTCTTCCACATATCCCCACAGCTCTTCAAACTGTAGATGTGTTTACTAAAGCACTTTCTTCGAATCGACATCAGTTCCTAGTTGACAAATTGATGCTTCTTGACCATCCAGCATCAATTTGAGGGGGGATAACAAGGCAGAAATTATGGAGTAACTTATGGCTGACCTTTAATTGTAAAAGAGTAATTTATGGCTGACCATTAATTGTAAATATTTAGAGTTATGTTTTTGGATTAAATAGGGCGGTAGACTAGGAGCTAGATGAGCAGGTTACCTAAGATAGATTGTACACAAATTTCTATTTAATGGAAAAGAGCCTAAGGAAAAAGGTATTCAGTCAAAACTTTGTTAACCACAAGATGTTTGAAGATTTGGAAGATCGGCTATTTTTGGAAAGTCATGTTTTTATCTGATTCTGGAAACGCAAGATACCATTGGAAGCTCAATTCTGAAGATCTCCAAATCACATGCATGATTTCTACATCAAGGAAACTTACCTTACATGAAGAATTTCGTCCAAATCGGAAAGCAATCCATTGAGAAGGAAATTGACTCCTAAAAGGAAAAACTTGGAGAAGACTCCACCCTAAGGAGATGTATATATACACTGCTTGAAGATCGAAGATAGGCTGCTTAAATAATTATTTTCCATTCAATCTTCGAGCTTCAAGCTTTTTCAGTTTTATTTTCGTTGTTCAGCTTTTGGTGTTCTTACGCCATCGAAGAATTGAACACGTTTGTTTTGTTTTCTTTGTTTTTCATTCAAACACTTTTGTGATCAGCACTTAGGAATTAAGTACAGTTGTTAGCTCGAGGGGTTCGAGAGTTAGAAATTCATGAGACGTGGCCGGAGAAGTAATTGATAGTGTTAGAATATCACTTGTGAGTTGTCCCACATCGTTCATACATGGAAAATAGACTCATCTTATAAGTCTAATGGGCTACTCCTCCTTCCACCAATTGGTTTTGGGATGGAACCCCACTTGGGCTTCATATGGGCTTTCTCCGCTTTGGTGCGCTTCATGTTAGTAGGACCGCACTCGTTTTTCCTCCCAGTTTCTTACATGGTATCAGAGCCGGTTCTACATGGTATCAGAGCCGGTTCTATTGGGACCGTGCGATGACGTATCCGTTTATGTGAGTTTGCTTCTCCACGTACCCGTTTATGGGAGTCTACTTCTAGTAGGCTTGGGGCACCCAGTTGGGC